AGGGGAAGCGAGCGATTTTCTCTTGAGAAATCGGTGGTCGAGTGCCTGCCCAGTTCAAATGCCACCCCACCCGGAGGGAAGCCTGCAGCCTAGGGAACCCCGAGGGAGAGTAAGTCCTGGGACCAAGCCAGCCAGCTTTTGGAGATCGACCCTTCTGTGCGAGGAGTCTCCTTAGATAAGCTCTGAAGGAGTGTGTGTTTGGGGGACGGGGAAGGCGGACTTCCTCCCGGACTCTGCAGAGGTCAGAGCTTGAAGTCAGGCTGCAGTGTAGGAAGCCCTCCCCTTGGGAGATGCTGTGTCCTGCCCTGGGGGTGGGAGAGCTTTGCCCAGATCCCTCCTGATGGCTACAGAGGACCAGTGGGGGATCTGCCTCAGGGCAGGGAGGCCCCTGGAGGAGACAGGCCTAGCCAAGTCTGAAGGCTTGTCCCCTAGGAGAAAATGCTTCCAACTGTTGGAAGCCTGCCCAGAGGAGGCTGGGAGGCTGAAGGATAGTTCTTAGGTGTGACATCAGAATGGAAGGTGGGCATGGAACAGAAGCTGCCAGAGTCCTCCTAAATCTTGGCACCAGCTGCCCAAAAGCCCTGGTTCCACCTTTCTGCTGTTTTTTCCAGGCAACGTCACACCTGAGGACAGCCAGGAGGACTCCAGCTTTTGCTGAGCATTGCATCTTGCCTCCTTCCTTACAAAGGCTCCGGACCCAAGCTCAGCTGTCCTCAAGTCCTGCGTGCCCCTGGCCAGGTGCCCCACTGCCCCTCCAGCTCAGCCTGGCCCTGGAGCTCACCTCCAGGACCTGGAGCCTGCCCTCCTGCCCAGAATGACTCACCGTTATTTCTAGCTCAAGTGAGAAGCCGTGATGGGGAGTCAGGCTGCCTGTCTGTGTATCTAGGATTCCCGCAGCATCAGATCAGCTCTGCAAGGGAGAGCGCTTCAGATTCCTGCCTTGCCAGGTAAATCAATCTGTTATTTAATAACAGCCATGCGTAGAGTCACTGGGATGGGGGAAATGAGGGACAGCTGGGCCCAAGATCCGACACTGAATACTTCCCAGGGTATGGGTATGTGCAAGACCTCAGGTCAGTGCCTGGGAGAGTGCTCCCTTCCAGCCTATAGTGTGAGGTTATGCTCCACAAAGTCTATGCAGCATGGAGGGGCTTGGACCAGCCATCTACCCCCAGTGCAAGGCATCTCAGAGCTTTCTTGCTTGAGAGACTGCCACCTGCTCCCCTCTGATCCCCAGGGACAGGTTATGAGGTGAAAGTATATCTTGCTTTTTTTGTGATGGTAGTGGTGGTGGTCATGTTTTTGAACTCTTAGCTGAGAGATGGAAGAGAAAAAGTGGCAAGCCAGGTCGGGCTGCCAATGCTGAGGGGTCTTATGTCCTTAATTGCCTCTGTCTTTCAGCCAAGCGGGGCTGTCTCTCCGGGCCCTCAGTGAGCCCTGGGGGCTCTCCTGCAGGAGCCCAGGCCGATGCTGCTGTGTTTCCTGGGGGCAAAGGCAGCACCCTGAGCTCCCTGCCACCGGGCAGCTAGAAGGCGTAGCACAAGGTGCTTCTCCCAGTTCCAATTATGACAGTGGCCACCGGAGACCCAGCAGACGAGGCTGCTGCCCTCCCTGGGCACCCGCAGGACACCTATGACCCAGAGGCAGACCACGAGTGCTGTGAGAGGGTGGTGATCAACATCTCAGGGCTGCGGTTTGAGACCCAGCTAAAGACCTTAGCCCAGTTTCCAGAGACCCTCTTAGGAGACCCAAAGAAGCGGATGAGATACTTTGACCCTCTCCGAAACGAGTACTTTTTCGATCGGAACCGCCCGAGCTTTGATGCCATTTTGTACTACTACCAGTCTGGGGGCCGGTTGAGGCGACCTGTGAATGTGCCCTTAGATATATTCTCTGAAGAAATTCGGTTTTATGAGCTGGGAGAAGAAGCAATGGAGATGTTTCGGGAAGATGAAGGCTACATCAAAGAGGAAGAGCGTCCTCTGCCCGAAAATGAGTTTCAGAGACAGGTGTGGCTTCTCTTCGAATACCCAGAGAGCTCAGGGCCTGCCAGGATTATAGCTATTGTATCTGTCATGGTGATCTTGATCTCAATCGTCAGCTTCTGCCTGGAGACGTTGCCCATATTCCGTGATGAGAATGAAGACATGCATGGCAGTGGAGTGACCTTCCATACCTATTCTAACAGCACCATTGGGTACCAGCAGTCCACTTCCTTCACCGACCCTTTCTTCATCGTAGAGACCCTCTGCATCATCTGGTTCTCGTTTGAATTCCTGGTGAGGTTCTTTGCCTGTCCCAGCAAAGCCGGCTTCTTCACCAACATCATGAACATCATTGACATTGTGGCCATCATCCCCTACTTCATCACCCTGGGCACAGAGCTGGCTGAGAAGCCAGAGGATGCTCAGCAGGGCCAGCAGGCCATGTCGCTAGCCATCCTTCGTGTCATCCGGTTGGTAAGAGTCTTTAGGATTTTCAAGTTGTCCAGACACTCCAAAGGTCTCCAGATTCTAGGTCAGACCCTCAAAGCCAGCATGAGAGAATTGGGCCTCCTGATATTCTTCCTCTTCATCGGGGTCATCCTTTTCTCTAGTGCTGTCTATTTCGCAGAGGCCGATGAGCGAGAGTCCCAGTTCCCCAGCATCCCGGATGCCTTCTGGTGGGCAGTCGTCTCCATGACAACTGTAGGCTATGGAGACATGGTTCCAACTACCATTGGGGGAAAGATCGTGGGTTCCCTGTGTGCAATTGCAGGTGTGTTAACCATTGCCTTACCGGTCCCCGTCATTGTGTCCAATTTCAACTACTTCTACCACCGGGAGACAGAGGGAGAGGAACAGGCCCAGTACTTGCAAGTGACAAGCTGTCCAAAGATCCCATCCTCCCCTGACCTAAAGAAAAGTAGAAGTGCCTCTACCATTAGTAAGTCTGATTACATGGAGATCCAGGAGGGGGTAAACAACAGTAACGAGGACTTTAGAGAGGAAAACTTGAAGACAGCCAACTGCACTTTGGCCAATACAAACTATGTGAATATTACCAAAATGTTAACTGATGTCTGATTGAACCCTAGTAACATACTCACAGCTCAATGGAACTAATGCAGATATTGCATAATAGCCTGCATTGTAGTCAGTGTGTTCTACAGTGTGTATCTGGTTCTGCATGGAAAGCAATAGTTGTGCAAGTGACTTTTGATCTTTTGATTTTTGATTTAGAACACAGAATACCTATCCATGGCTTTCATGCAAATCTTCATCACTGGCTTAGGGGTTTCCAAAGATGGGAGTCATGTATGGAGCCAGGATTTCAGAAGGACACATTGAGGCCACCTCATAACAAACACAGCAGCCACCACATCAGTGTCACCTTTCCTTCCTAGTGAAATGCACACAGCATCCAGGAGATGCACCCCGGCCTGCCCTCACCCCCTACCCCACCACCCCATTCGGGCCTACCTCCCTCTTCCCAGAATGAAATCACGGTGGCTTAGCTTTAAAGTTCTGGTAATCATTTGAAAGGTCATTCCCATTTTTGCATCGAAAAGAACACACAGTCCTGTGTGTTGGAATTACTTTCTGTGTCACAGGCTGGGGTTTGTGAATTGCAGTTGCCAAGTAGATGCTCCGGAGGCTGTGTTTCATAACTGAAAATGCTGCATTTGGTTTTTTCTCTGCAGTGTCGATGTGAGGGAAGCCCAGGGGGAGGGACCACTAGGATGACCGAATGTGAGTTGTCAAGTTTCACCTCTGCTCCCTTAGGCCTACGGGGAGACGCTGACAAACCAAGGGGCCTCCCAGCTTCAGATTTCACCATTTTCGCAGGCTTCAGGGTCACAAAAACATGTCTGATTTCTTCATTACACTGGAGTTTGCAGGCATTTGCTTTCCTAGTGCTGTGGCCCAGCTACATTGACACTGCAGTGAAATTTACCAGTGATGCGATAGAGCTGCATGGGTGTTTGTTGCATGAATCTCAATATTTAAAACACAGGAGATAACCTATTTTCTTAGTAGCCTACATGGTATTCATATTTAGAATATTAATAGCCTAGGAATGGCATTGAACTAGGGTATTTTTTTTCCCATCAGAAGACAAAAGCCCTCCATCAGGAAAAAACAAAATAGACTGTTTGGAATGGGGAACCCAAACTTCCGGCCCTCCAGCCCACTCCATCCCTGTTCTTCCAAATGGGGGCTCAGACCTCTGCAAAGCCGGAGAGTGAGCAGGGAAAGTAGTGTCTAAGCGCCTCACATGACTGCACCTTAGGAATTAACCTAGTCATGGGCATGACTGTGCAGCTGACCAGGGCATCTAGTCCTGAGGACAGGTGGATCTGTGGATCCAGTGTATATAAATAAATATCGAGTATCTCTTTCACGAGTTCCTCTACCTAGCTAGCTATAGAAAAAATTGCATTTAAATCTTGTATAAGCTTATGCAATATTTTTGACACAGGGCAATATATGCATGTCTTTGACTATGTGCACTTGAGTGTATATACACACACATATATATTTATATATACATATATACATACATACGTGTGTATATGTATATATGCACACACACGCACACAGACGTATATAGTCATTCTCTGGAGTTCAGGTTCAGGAGCAAATCCACTGCTTGGTGGGTTGGTTGTCTCAGAGGCCTAATGGGTTCATCTGTCTCACTGGTAACCCCACTGGGCCTGGGTTTGCTGCCATTGCCTCAGACACTCCAGTCTTCGTGGATTCTTCGATGTGAGAATTGTCTCTCTGCCCTCCATGTGCTGCAGCTTCAGTTTCCCATGGCTGAAGCTTGTCTCTCCTAGTGCACAAGGGCCCCAGGCCCTCACAGCTCCAGCTGTCCTGGGCCAGACCCACCCCAGGCCTCCTCACCACAGCCCATCATGTTTGTCATCTCCATTCTCATCTCTTCCCACCCCGTTTGGTTTTTATTTAAGACATAGAATGTACTTACCAATATAGAACATACACGAGAGACCTACATAAACCCTGTACAAAGACACAACCTGCAACTCAGATACAGAATGCACAAAAATGACGTGGTGGTGGGGCTCTGCCTCGGTCACGTTCAAGGACCTTTCCCTAAAGACCCAGAGTGGATCACCTTCTTTGAAGGACACTGAGGAGGAGGGCTCCTGGGGACCCAGTTTTGCAGGTCTGGATGTAAAGGGAGCCTCCTCCATGTGGAAATGTCTTAAGTCAGGACCAAGGGATGGAGTCCCTAGTTGATCTACAGGTATCGTTTTGATTGCGGGGTTCAAACTCTCTCTCCATTAAACTGGCAACCAGAGCTGCTTAAAGAAACCAAAGGCTGGGTGAAGAATCGCCCCTCACCCCCAGAACAGGCTGAGAATGAACGAGCACTGCACGGCCCAAAGGGAGAGTGCTGGCTGACTGTGGAATGGGTAGAGGTGGGGAGACTTTTGACTCCCAAACTGACCTTACTTGTCTTTTGACAGAACAGCTTAAATTTCCCAAACACAGTGAATTGTGTGGCTCCAACCCTGGCCTCACTGTTGGCTGCTTAGCACCTACAGTTACCTTGGAGGGGTGGGGCGCCAGCCCAGGGTGCTCACTAGTTCCTGGTTACCCACACCCCCAGGGGTCTGCCAGCACAGAGCCCCTCTGCTTCTCTTCCTCTCCTTCATGGGAGATGGCGCTGCATTTCCAAGACCTGGGATGGAGGGACGCAGACCCTGGGAAAACAGGTGGTAAAACAGCCCATCATTAAGGCCTAGGTTGGGGGTAGATATTTTACCCCGGTGTCCTTGACCTGGGCTGTAAGACGTTCACCCACACAGGCACACAGGCATGCGTACCCACCACAACAAAGATCTACACTGCTGCCATACACAAATCCAAAACACGCACCACACATGCAAAATACATAGAGACCAAATTGATGAAAAGAGCATACACAGAAGATACATGGTTATACCTACATCCAAAATATAACACTCAACACAGACATGGAATGCACTTGCCAATACAGAACAGACACAGATACACCCTGTACAAAGACACAACCTGCAACTCGGATGCAAAATGCACAAAAACTACGTGGACAAATGGGTACCCATATAGAATACGCATACAAAGGATATCTTACTATTGTTTATGCACACAAAATACACTCAAACTCGGTTTAGACATACAATGCTTTTTGCTCATATTAGGCCCACAAAATACAGCACACACATCCAAGAACATACACACGTAACACACGTGAAATGTTACATATATCAGATCTATTGCTCTGCCCCATCGCTATAAATTAATAGGCATAAACAAAAGATCAGATTTAATCACCTTTCCCTAGCCTGAGTTAATACCCCTCAATATGCATCAAGAAATCTCTTCCTCTAGTCTCTTCTCTCCCTCTTACCCCCAGATTTCAGAAAAAGAACCCGCAAGTTTTAAAGCAGAAAGATGGGCCGGTATTGTCAAGCAGATCTCTGATTAAGACCAGGAATCTCATGGGTGTCTACCTATTCACCTTCCTCCAACCAGAAAGCCAGATGCCGAGTGTAGAAGGACCTGGTCCATTGATATACACCATTGGGCCAGCCGATGGCCCATTAATATACACCTCCTTGCCATGTCCTTTACTTCAAGGCAAGTCCATGTAGACAACCCAGTGGCCCCAGCTCCCCTGCTCCCAACCCCTGGGATCTCTGGTTTCAGCACCGTTCTCTTGAAAGCTGTGATGGCTCGAGGAACTGCAGAGTCCTGGGCCCAGGACCAGAGTGAAGATGCCCCCAACATTCTCTCAGTCCACAGACGTCATTACCCTTCCATCCCAGATGACTTTGTCAGGGGCTCAGTCACAGAGTCTGGACCATATAAAGACTTGTCTCTTAAAATGAGTCACCTCTTCTCACTTGTGGCATCTCACTTGCTCTTGGGCATAGGCCCAGTGGGGTCAACTCCTGAGTCCCCTCTATGAGTGTGCCATCCCAGGCACACTCCTCCCCGCTGCCGGGGCTCTGCCTGGATGCCCTGCTTCCCAGCCAGTGGTTGCACCTTGAGGAAACACACACCAATTCGGCTTCAGTAAAACATGACGATGGACAAAAGCCTAACGTGAAACAAGCAAACAACATTTTTTTAGACAGCCTGATTTTTAGCCTATATTATAAGGCCAGATTTACATAAGACGACACACTGTTTTGGATGACGCCCAGAGCTGACTCCTCCCACTAGGGGACTGGCTGAGAGCTGGATGCATTTTGGCAAAGGTTCCCCTCAAATGGAAGTGGGGGGTTGAAGTCAGATGTAGGATCAGGCATCAGGGTCTCCACTTCTTTGCCCGTCCCGGATGTGTCCCACTCTTCCCTCCTAAAGGTGGTCGCAGCTCCCAGTCTCCAAGGAGGAGGCAGCACTAGCGGGGAATAGATATGTGGGGCCAAACCTGCCCATTTAGCACAGCATGCTGGGCCTTTAGAGGGTTTTCGAGTCAAGACACCAATAGGTGCCTCAGTGGGCTCAAACTTTCAAGAGAGTTGGAGTTTTCTAAACAGAAAGAGGTCCAGGAAAGGTGGGGAGGTCGTCAGGAAGACAAGGTACCTGAGCTGGACAGATTTCAGAGTCAACTTTCCAGGAGCTAGAATTTAGTTAATGTTCAGGCCCTGTGCTTTCAGAAGTTTCTGTGGTCTTTGACACACTCTTCCTTCCTCTCAGCTGGGCCTCTGAGGATGGAGTAGGCATGTCACCAGGAGGTTAGCCTTGAAAGGGGCCTCCGACCCTGGGAGTGTGCCTCCAGACTCCACTGGCCTGGTGTAGAAAAGGTTTCCGTGAGAGCTGTGTTGGCCTGAGCCTCCCGCCTGAGTGCTCACGTGGCCACCCCGTGTGCGAAGGGCTGCAGGACTAGCTTGTCCTGTCTGCTCTTCCTGGACCTCTCACTCCATTGTAGTGAGGTCTTTGGCCAACTTCCTTACTCATGGTCAGCCATAAAATAGCAGTGCCAAGCCGTGATGAGAGAGGGCATGCTGGGGCTTCAGCACTGCCTGCAGTAGTGGAGAGGAGAGGTGGAGGCTGACTTTCCCCAAAAGAAACTATAAGACAGTTTGCAAATTGCATATGGCAGTGGCACCAATCTCCCACCCAACCCCATGGCAGGTGGGAGGAGCACACTGCTCTGTCTAAAGACCCCTGTTTACCCAGGAGTGGGGATGGTGGCCCCACTCCAGCTCTGGTTCTCCTGGGACCCATGAGAGCCTCCATCTGGGCAATGGCTGCCTGGTCTGAGAGGGCCGGTCCACATAGGCTGTAATGTCCAGGGTGCTCTTCAGTTACACAATGGAGGCTCCCCCAGCCTTGGCAAAGTGTCCATTGCCAGGTTCAAACCCATGACCTTAACCTCATTAACATCATTAGCCACCTGAGCCAACCAGCGGAGCACTGGAGGCTGGGAGGTGTCCAGATGGCTAGTGTGACCATCATCTAGATCCTCAGACTTGGCCTTTGTTCAGACCAGCCCTTTCTCTCATCAAAGCAGCAAGCCAGGACAGGTGGAGATGAGGGATCGGCGGCAAGCAGGGGTGGGTCTCCTCATCAAACGAATCTAGTTCACTTTTCCCTTCTTTCTGCTTCCCTTCCCACCAAAGTTCAGCTCCATCTCTCATAGTTTATTTTTAAAGAGGAAAAGTGCAATAAAAGAAATAGTGACTGTTTTCTTTAGCAATAGCTATTTCAAAACCTTGTTCTCAGGACTGAAAAGTGATAGTACCCGGATTCTCAGATAATGTCCTTGGCTTCTGGGCATTAGTTCACTGTCTCTGTTCCCTCTTCTTCCCACGTGGTCACGTGACTCCTGCCCCCTTCTCCCTGACTCTGCCCCTGCTTTGGAATGTAGACATACACAGGTGCCACGGTCTGCACGAGGAAGGTCCACGAGAAGGCTTCCTTCGTCACCCTGACTCGTCCCCGTGTGCACCTCTGTCTCTGTGTGCATCGCCGTCCCTCTCCCGCTCCCTTAAGCCAGCCCTCACGTGGCATTGTCACAACCTCTAGGCACTGAAACCTTGAGTTTGAGTGACCTCACACCAGCCCATCTCGTTGACTTTCAGTCAGACCGGCAGGGTGTAATGGAAGCCCACAGGAAAGCGCTTACCGATAGATAAGAATGAAGCATCCTGAGCCATTACGGAAGATCATTTCCATGCACTCAAAGCCATTACTTGATCCATTTGTTTCCCTTCCTCCCCTCCCTGGGAGATGGATGCTGGGGGAAGGTTGCCTGGAGGTTTGCACCTGGAATGGGTAGCCTGGGCAGATTTGGGGAGTTGCCCTCTGGCTGTCCTTCAAAATAAGCTGACCTGCTTAACCAAAGGCACTCCAGGAGAGCTATGGAGGGAAGCAAGTGTTTGCAGGTGGAGATCTACAGGGACAGAAGTCTGGGTGGTTAGGGCATAACGTTAGTGAAACAAAGAGCCCACCACCCACTACAGTGTACATTTGCACAATATTTGCACACGTAACTGGGGACTTCAGAAGAGCCTCCTTTCCTGAAAAAAATCTATGAGGTTAAATTTTCAAACTGGACAATCAGGGAAGGCTGGCAGCTCCAGGGTCCCATTCCATTCCTTTTCAATCTACCTTGCTCTATACACGTGTATACAGCAAAACCTCAGTTAACTGATGGGGAAATCCTCAGGGAAGGGAGTGTCCAGATTGCTTTATAATTATGGTTTTGGGGGTGGGACTGGGAAAACATGTTTTGGTTCAACTTTTATTATTGGGGGGGAAAAAACTTTCCTAAGTAGGTTAGTATAAACTTTCCTGCCTTAGTAAGTAGAATGTATGAAGACGACAGAAGACCTTGCACCGCTCAGGGTCAACATTCTCAACCTCAGCGCTCATTGTACAGAAGTGTAGGGGGAAGAGACCAAAGAAACAGGCTGAATGGGTGTTGACTGCCAGGCATACCTGGAATTTGGCCATTTGGGCTCATCAGATAATGCCCTTGCTATTGTTTGCCTCTTTCTACTGAAAGCATAGTTAAGAAAACACAATTCTTATTAGTCGAGGTTTTGGTTAATTGGTCCTGAGTAATCAGAGGTTTTCCATATATACATATATCTGTGTGTATATATATGTATAGTATATGTATATATGTATACCATTGTTTCCAAAATTATATACAGTGGCCGCTCCCCTTAGCTTCACTAATGTGGAATACATTTGGCAATCCAAGAAAGAAACTGCATTTCTTTGAATTTTTTAAATGACCTTCCTTTATAATCTTACCATCATCTCTCCAGGTCAGCTTTGTCTCCCACGTAGGGAACCTCTCTAGAAGGTAGTTCTTTCGTAACAAAAGATCAGGCTCCAGGATCTTTCCCTTCCCTCCCAGGTGGCTGCCTGACTCAGGGATAAAAGGGAAGTCTGATCTAAGGGCCAGGTGCTTTATCCTCTTTTCTGTCTGCCCTGACTGGCGGTAACCTCATCACTGAGGACCAGAAAAGTTACTCCAAACTTGGTAGCTCTTGGGGAGTGGAAACCTCGAAGACATGGCAAAGGACTGCTCTGTTGAGCTCTCTCTTTGCCCTTGGTGCCCTAGGCTTGAATTTCATGAGATCTGAAAGTAACATTTTTAATGAGTGCTAAAGCATGTCTCTGCCCAGTGGAAGGTGAGATGTGCAGCAACCAATGGAACTAACAAACCCATCCTGTAGTTGATTCTGACCAAATCTAGGTTGTGGGTGTAGGCAGCAGAGCACCTCTAATTCATTTGCCTCTTTGGAGAAACAGCTGGGTCTGAGCTGAACTGTGCTCCCGTTCCCCTTCTCACGGGCAGTGAGTTAGCACCATGGGAGATGGTTCCAGCGTCACCTCCTGCGTTTGACTGTGTGCACTGTATCTGGATGAGGTTGGGAGGGATTCCTCACTGGTAGCTGAGGCAATTGAGGTGGTGCAGGGGTGCTTGCCCCCTCCTGACACTTCCAGCAGCCCTCCAATCTGGTCAAACTGGCGGCAATCAGAGAGTCACAGCCCATAAACCAGACTTAGCACGACCAGCTGGTGAACCAGAGCAACTGAGGCAGCATGTCCGGATGGCCACTTGTTACACGGCATGAGCCTCAGCGGGGAAATGGATATACCTTGCTGTGCTCCCCCTGCACTCCTAAAATAGTCAGATCTGTTCCAGATGAGTTTGCAGCTGAGAACTGCCTGCATCATTCCACTGATGGATGCACAGGGCAGGTGTGATTACATAATAATGTGGACAGCTGCAGCAACATCTAGATAATCGAGGGTGGTGTAAGCACGGCTGTGTGCTAGGACCTTTGGTAGCTGCCCAGAGGACTCGGTCCTGTGTCTCTTCTCCATCCTCATGAGAGACCTGTAAGCCCTGCTTCTCCTTGAAAACGGTTCCCTGGACGCTGACTGTCTTGTTTGTGTGAGCGCACACACACTCCCGGCTGCTAGAGAAAGCAAGAGCAGGAGCTGGGAGGAAGAGGATATTGGGGGGCTCGCTTTGCTCCCAAACAATGTCCATGTCAGCTGCTGCCACTCCTGTCCTGTCAGCTTGTGAAGGGGAGGGCGAGGTCTGTGACCTTCCAGGTAGGGCTGGGAAGGAGCGAGCAGCCGCAGGCTGAGAAGTGAGAGCAAAATAGCAGCGGGAAGGGCAGCCTGGCTGGTGAGCCTTTGGCGAGGGTGAGTGTCAACTCCGGAGGGTCTGAACATGCTCCGTGCTTGCCCCAGTTCTGCCTTCACGTGGGATCCAGCGACCCAGTTTCCTTCTGTCGTCGTGCTTGGATGATTCCTTCATTTGAAGCCCCAGGAGCTGGCAAGTCCCATGACCGTGCTCTAGCCCGCTGAGCACAGAATGCCCTGGCCAAACTGCCCTTTGACTGGGTTCCTGCATCCCTGCACCCCTCGGTCCACTAAGGGTAATCTTGGAACAGTCAGGATTAGTGGTGCCAGCAATCAAGGAGGATCCTCCAGTTTTCATCAGGGACCCAGCTGTAATGCTCCCAAGTGCAGGATGCTATCTCCTTTTCTAGACCCGTGTGCTTGTGTGCTTATATAGGCTGTCTCTGGAGACTTTATATATGACACACAGATACATAAAATGTGGAAGTGGCCGCTCACTTAGGCTGACGCAGCGGACTCAAGGGTTTGCACTGGCTTCCTTGCTGCTCAGGCATGGCTCCGTTGCTGCCTCCGTGTCCTAGCTCAAATGATTTCTGAAAACTCAAAGAGGAGAGGCAGATAAATAAGTCTCTGGGATCAATAGGAGAAGGAACTCCAAGGCTGATGGTAAAGCTTCGTAAGGATGATGCCGAAAGGGAACCGGGGTCTCCATGGCGATAAGAGGCTGGGGACCAATGGGAGCTGAAGGCGGAGCAGGACTTGTGGGGGAGACTCATGGGAGTTGGGAGTCATTTAACGCTTTGTTTGCTTCATGAAAATTTAGACACCAGCTGTAACTGCATTGCACAGGATATGTAGGTATTATCATTCTTGCTGACATATTCTGGAAGCTTTCAGCCCCACTAACACTGCCCCGCCCAGGACTTCTGCAGCTGAGAGTTCCTGTGTCAGTAGGGTCTGATATCTGTACATAGATTATACATATATGTGTACATACGTGCCTCAATGAACATTGCCTGTCCACCTGATCAGAGGTGTACATAGACTTCATAGAGCGCCACAGTCTTTTGTAAATATCAACACAAGTAAATAAGTATATAAATATATATTACTGAGGATTTATTTTAACATCATTCCGTGTGAAATGAAAAAATAAATAAAATTTTTGACAGACACTGATCGTTTCCACCTTCTTTCTCGCCCTACTGGACTACCACCGCTCCGACATGCATGTGTGCTTGCCCAGCCCTCAGTCCGGTTTCTGCAGCCGTGAGGGCCCAGCCAGAGACCAGGGCAGGACAGGAGAGGGCTCTCCTGGACGCATCATGGATATCCCAGCCATGTGCCCACCTGCTCATCCTGAGAACGCAGCACAATGAAGGACATGGATGGGAGAGTCGGGGTGGGTCTGAGATCTCCTTCCGCACTGTATCAGTGCTTCTCATGTCTTCTGTGGAGCTGGGGGATGTGTGAAAACCAAAGGCAATCAGACTCCTGGGACTAACTGAACTCTAGCTGCACCCACATTTGCAGGCCCTGTTCTCAAACCCACCCCCACTTCTGCCCATTCCTGCCGGTGCCTTCCAAGAGGAAGGGCAAGCTTCTCCGGCCCTGCAGGGGCGCCTCCTTGGAGAAGATTCTGATATTCACACACTCACACCTTGCTGAGGCATTTCCACCTGATTTCCTCGGAGGGCTATTCTCATCCATTGCTGGACCCCCCCCCCCAGCATTCAGATGGCTCAAAAGTGGCCATGGTGAGGGGTGTGACAACAGAGAAGTCCTTGCCCTCAGACACCAGCAAACTCATTCAGCCCCCACCCTCCAGGTCACTCGCTAGTGATCTCTCATTATCCCCCTTCCCAGTCCGCCACACTCTGCCCAGAGAAACTGGCCAACTGAAGCAGCTGGTCCTCCCGCTCCATCCCGATCTCACCTCCAGAAAGCTCTGTTCTGGGCAGCAGGTACTGAGGAGACAAGGGGGAGGGTAATAAAGAAATGAGAACCATGTGGAACAACGGCTGTCACTGGCACCCTTGCCCAGTGACCATTTCCTCCAGCATCGAGTGGGAGCATGAAGCCCCCAGAAGAGCTCTAGATCTCTGCAGAACAGCCCCAAGCAGACAAACAGCGCAGGGCTCCCTGCCCCCAAAGAAATGGGACATTGATCAGGCGCCAAAGGTTGATCTCTCCTGCTGGTTTCTCCTGTTGGACATGGAACTCCTGCCTCCAAGGGGCTGAGAGCTGGAAGCTGGGAGCTGGGAGAGTTTTGTGTGTCCCTGACTATTTAGATTTTGTTAGGGAAATACATCCGGGGTGGGATGGTGAGTGAAAGGGAGCAGGGATGTGTGGAAGTTATAATATCAAGGTTCCCATTCTTCTCGCCAAGTTGGGGCGGGGGACTCAGTTCGGGCATAGCCCAGCCCTCCACTCAAGCACACTGGGCCCTTGACTTCTTGGCCTGGGCCCTTGCCTTGGGCCCTCCCTAACACTGGGTGCTCTGCCCAGCTGGTTCCTCCCAATGAAGAGAGTTGCTTGGGGAAGTGTGGGTGTAAGGAGACAGCCCGTGTAGTCCCGGGGCCAACATTGTGGACTGGAGGAACGGAGCTTTGCTGGAACAACTGAGAAGCTAAATTAAGCCCAGAGAAAAAGGAAAGACTCTAGAGCCAAAGGCCTGGGTATGAATCCCAGCTCTGTGGTTCACCAGCTCTGAGACCCTGGGCATCCTGCATCCCTCTCCTTCCCCGACGCCCAGGTTCCTCATCTCTACAAAAGGATCCCGATGCCTTCCTTATCTCGTGACAATTACGTGAGCTCCTGGCTCAATTAGGAGCCCAATAGCAATAGTGAAAACCTCCTATCTCTTAGGTTCCCCTTCCCGAAAGAGCCAAAAAGGCCAGGATTTTTAGAAATCTGAGATGTTGAAGGATTTCTAATCTCTTCTGGCCCAGAGGTTGCTCTTCTGGGCTGAGAATGAAAATTGACTCCAAAGTGTCCAGAAAACTCCTGAAATTGCCTCTAACATGCTGTGATGTGGTCATCTTTCCACGGAGAGCGTCCACCGCTGTCCACAGCCCCCAAACTTAGAGCTATTGGTCAAACTTAGACCCCTCACCTTCTACCTTCTCCTCAGTGTCCAGGAATGAAAAGTGATTTTGCCAGAGTCACTTCCATTTATTCAAAAAAATTCATTTATTCAAAATACATATTTGTACTTTGTGCTTAGGAAACTCTGCCCCTGTGGGTCTTCTAGGGCAAAACAGAAATTCACCTGCAGCGAATTTGGCTCGGCCAGAGCTAGACCTGACCTGGTCCCAGGACATCTCTTTCCAATAATCTGTCCCCTTTGCAGCAGCTGTGACTGGGCCTCAGGCCTCAGGATCCAGACCTGAAGTTTCCCCAGGCAGGTTTAGCACAGCAGTGGGAAAAGATCACATAGTCTGATGTGAAATTAGCACTACTGAAATGATATGCAAATGAGGCAAGTCCACATCTCTTTGATCCAAGGGTTGGGGCATTTTTGAATCTGACTTCTCAGCTGATTATCCTCTCCCTTCTTTTCCTTTAGATCCACTGCCTCACCAAGTGCAGTAAACACACTCACCAATCAAAGAAGATGAAGGCCCTTTGGCCTTGTATCACATCCAACCTGAACACAGGTCAGGGCTCTGTGATTGGTGGTTTGCAGGGAAGTTAGGAGGTAAATCTCCCATCTGCAGGGATTCCTGTGCCAGGAAAAATCTGCCCTTCCCCAGGTCTGTTTTGATGGAAGATTTACACTCTTTTTACTGATCATTTGGGGAGCCAGCAGCAACCAACCATCTGAGAAGTAAAACCACAGCCATTGTGTTTCGGTGGTGTGTGTGGTACCTTCTCTGTCCCAGGAAAAGCCAGGCATCTTTAAGTATCTTGTTCATCTCCGAATCCTCAGCATCTGACATAGTGCCAGGCACAATAAATATTCATTGAATGAATGAATACCTACATCACATAGTCACAGTGGTGGCCAAGATATCTGTGTCATCGGGACAGCAAAGATACGGCCACGTCCTGGGACCCCCTTTCTCCTGTATCTCTATCTGGCCTTATGAGAGGCCTCTAATCCTACTCCTCCCAGTTGTGAGTCAGACTGGCCTTTAGGTATAGGCGGTCTGAGTTGCCTGACTCAAATGGCCCAAGGTCAAGGTGCCACACATCTCCTAATGTCCCGTCCCCAGCGTACATTCCCACAGGTCCCAGAGAAGTTGCCCTCCAAACAAAGCCTGTTTAACCCTACACCAGCCCCAGGGCCAAACCCTTCCCATATCCCGAGAGTCTAAAGTCTAAATGGTTCCCACAGGCTTCCCAAATCCTAATGCTGAGAAGATCTTGATATCTTAGGAAATGTCGGGCCTTGGAGTCAGGTCTGAGCTCCATTCCTGGTTCTACTGTATAGGAGAGTGTGTTATCTGTGTGACCCGAACAAGGGAGGTAACGTTTCTGAACTTCTGTTTTTTCTGTCTCCACTTGAGATTAAAATGCCTACCTCACAGGGCTGTCACGGGGATTTTTTTCAAAAAAGGTTTTATATATACATATATATATATAAATTACACTGTAAGTGTTGACTTCACATGCATTATGTCATTAGTTATCACAACAGCCCTGTGAGGTGAGTTATTGTCTGTATTTTACAGGTCAGAGAGGTTACATAACTAACCCAAGATCACACAGCTAATAACTGGCAGAGCCTTTGTTGAGTCCAGCCTCACACCCTTAAGGATTACAACTGATAGATGTTAGTCCCTCTGCTACCACCACCTTCTTCCCCCACGTGGTTGAGGGCATATAGATGAGTCTTACCAGAAGACAAACAAGAAAACCTCACCTGCCTTAAGAAGCCCTGATACAATCAAGGTAGTCCACCTAGCCTGGGTGAGTCAGGATGGGAACGGCCTCAGTCTGCCCTCTAAGCCCTCATATTGAGCCCTGGGCAGTGGCATCAGGGAGCTGTGGGATGGGGAAAGGCACCA